TGGTGGCTGACTAAATACTTTTTTGCCCCACTGTACCTTCTCCCTGAAGGTACAGATGGCTCCTATCCTACTGATGTTTCACAAAATTGCTGAAGTAGTATTGTTTCAGTACCTTTGGCTTTTAGGGTAACTGAAGGTATTGTGTGCTTATGAAATTTTCGATTGCTTACCAGGTGTTTTCATAGTTTTGGGGGTCTCTCTGCTTTTTAGTGTATGACTTTATTGTGCCTTGTCCAGAGTCCTCCTTGATTGAGTGATTAATACAGGTAGTCCCCAGTTTAAGAACAAGTTCTGTTCCCAAGGTCTGTCCTTAAGTCAAGTTTCTATGTAAGCTGGTACAATATTATTGTATAATACTGTATAAGTAATATTGTATAATGAACTCAAATCACTGCGCATTTAACTCGAATTTTGCTACAGTGGGCTCCATTCTTAACTATGGGTCAACCCTGGGTTAAGAATTACCAGGATACAGACCACCCATAGTTAAGAATGGAGCCTATTGTAGCAAAATCTGACTTAAATACACAATGATTTGACTTAAATACACAATGGTTTGAGTTCATTATGCAATACCACTTATACAGTATTGTACAATAATACTGTTCCAGCTTACATACAAATTCGACTTAAAGACAGACCTTGGGAATGGAACTTGTTCTTAAACTGGGGACTACCTGTATGGGTCATCCTTAAACCAGCCGTTTTTAACCCAGGGACTACCTGCATTGTAAACAAATAGAAATCCCCTTTCCAGTTTGGTGTGAGGAAACATCAGATAAAGGGACTTGCATAAGCTAAATTGAATGATGGGATGGATGAGTGGAAGAGGCAGAGATTTATGGAAAGAGTAGAACCTAGTAGAGTACCCACCAGATCTACATGTTTAGATTAACATCTGATTGAAGTGGTGGGACTGGACCATGTAAGCACTTAACAGGGCTTTTTAACCTCTGCTGAACAAATGAATGGACAGACAGAAACTTACATTGTTTATAAACTGTGACCATGTCCAAAGATCCTTTTATGTCTAGTAAGTGGGGAATAATAACACAATTGTCTGATGCTAACCATGCAGCAGATGTATAGACATTATGCCACTCTCTGATGACAGGGCAAAAGTTCCTAGGTCTGTGAAAAAGAGAATTAAGTTGTGAAATGAATATCATTATTGTTGCTCTTCTAAAAAGCACAGCTCTGGCAGATGTGATTCCACCTAAGAAAACAAAGAGATTCTGACTTCAGTGGCACACAAAGTAATTTCATCTAAGCTATAGACAACTTTGCGCCTATACTGTTAGACTACAGAGCACATGCATCCTGAGGAGTGGTATGAACTAAGAGGCCTGGAACTTATTTCTGACAGAACCAGAGAGAAAACAGAAGCTTAGCTGTGTAGAATACTGGCCCTAGATCCAACTTAACCTGCAACATACTTAAATAAATTTACACCAGTTTGCAACTGCAGCAATGGGTAAATGTCTCACATAGCACTTCATAGACAAATATCATAGATGGTCTTCTAGAATAAAGTTTGTCTACCTTGTCAGGATAATCATCCCCTGTGTGTTGAAACCAGACAGCCAGGCAGAGTAAGACCAAACTCTGGGAGAGGACACAAGATACTGCCAGAAGAAATTAGAACTCTCAATCCCTGGGAACCAGAGTTTGTATGGCACAGGGCTAGGACATGGGGGGCTTTCTTTGTCCTGATTGTGGAAAGCATTTTCTGGAAATGAGGAAAGGTGGAAAAATACGAAGGAGATTTGTTTAGTGGCGCTGAGTATGCTTTGAAGATGCTGTAGTGAAATGGACAAGACACAAAGTTCTACCCTTAGCAGCAAACTTGGGGTACCGTTATGTTGGGAATTTTAATGGACGGTTCCTTGTCATTTCAACGGGTACTGTCTATTCTGACTACAAAGCATGTGAGCTTTAGACCGAGTAGGAAAGAGAAATTAAAAAGGGAGAATAAGACAATAAACTAGATCTAACGAGCATTGAGTCTGCCATATTAGAGTGCTTGTATCTTGATACAATCTTCCATATACTAACTTTTTATGCTCCCCTGCACCCATCTACTGCTTCCACCCCTTCTTTTTGGTTCTCACTTTTTATATATACTTTTAGTTTTTAATTTATATATCTTTTATATCTTCTGTCTTTTTATAATTATTTTTAGATTTTCATTCTCACTCTTGATGCTTTATGCTTTTTTGTAATGACTGTACCCCATCCCCTTCTGTTGGTCTACAGCTGTAATAAATATGTGTTTTGATGACAGAGGCAAAGTGAAGCTTTTTATTTAAAAAGAAAAAAAGACAGTAATGAACTGAAAATACAGAAAGTGGAAATTTTACACGTCAGCATAAATAAATAAAGAAAACATACAACTCAAAGTTCAGCAATGAAACTGCAGGCAGGACCACAAGTTTTATTAAGACAAAAATATACTCGACATGATTCCTGCCCTTCCTGGGTAGCCAAAATTAACCCATTATTAAATGCCTTTTCATTATCAAACTGGGAAATACAGTAATTGCTTCATTATATATTAACATAAAAAAATGAAATGGAAGTGTTGTCTAGTTACAATCTTTCATCAAATTGATGTAACATCAACTGCTACATTTTCTTTTACTGTTTCTTGTGAGTTTCCCTACCATCATGCTTTTCCCACATTCCACTTCCTGGCATTCTAACACTTGCTCATGATCCTGCTTCTTTTGTCCATTTTTCTACAGAATCCTCTCTTAGTTCCATTTCCTTTATGTGTCCTCATGGGAACATGGCATCTACAAATGTAACCAGAAAACAACTTTTACACTACTTTCTTAGCATCCCTTCCTTTCTTATGAATCAACAGTTTCATTATTTTTCCCTTTAAAAATTATTAAAGAGTGCAGCTGTAATGCAAATAATTTGTATGCTATCTTCCTGACAGTAAGACTATTAAGGAAATATCAACTTTTCAAACAGTGAATCAAATGGCCCAAAGCAGCAGCAGCAGCAGCAGCAGCAGCAGCA